AAATCTAAAATAATGGTAAAGTTCAAATTAACATAGAATTGTCATTTTTTTTTCAAAACAGACTTATTCATTCCTATTCTTTTAGTAGAATTCAATAAGTCTCTCTATTCTTTTAGTAGAATTCAATAAGTCTCTCTGAGGTATAAAACATATTTAGTCATATTTTTAAAAATAATTATAGAAATGGACATACTATGTTTGATACACTTTCGAGTGAAATTGTTTGATGAAATTTTATGATCATGTTCTCAATGATGGAATTATTGAAAAACACTATGTTTTTTATAGGCTAAAGTGTCAAATAGGCTCATGTATCGGTTGTGTAAGCTCAATTCAGTTCCTGAATTAAAAAAATGTTTAATTCGCACCCCGAACCGGCAAAATAAGTTTCAAATTTCATTTTTTACAGGTAAACAACCGGAAAAAATGGTCAGTATTAGTTAAAGGGATGTCTTCTTCAATTGGGCTGGATGTACCTACACCTGGATGTAGGATATAGGGACCGCCAAATGTTGATGGTCGGACAATGTTTGAGTCATAAAATTCTTGACTAGACAATTACTCACTAGTACTATTAAAAAATAGAGGGAAAAGGTGCAAATAAGCCCTCGAACTAACAAAAAAAAATACAAATCACACCTTTTATATGAGGCTCTGCCGGCCGTCGCCATTTGGGGCGGTTACCAGTGGAATATTTTGATGAATTTTTTTAGCATCTTCTTCATTAAGTCTAGTTTACGCATACCAAATTTCAGGTAAACATTCAACCGGTAAGGCAGTCAAATGATTTTCTGAAATATACTGTGCTATTTAACTGCGCAGTTATCTTCAAATATTTATTTGACTGCCTTCACGATTGAATTTTTAGTTGAAATTTGGTATGGGTAAACTAGACTTAGTGAAGAAGATGCTCAAAAAATTGGAAAAATTGATTGTAAAAATCTCAACTATTGGCGGTCCGCTCATAATCATCTCAACTATCGATTATTTCAGAATAATCCCAACTTTAGGGACCTTCCGCCAATAATGGTCCGACGTGACCGACTATAAATAAATTCCTGTAGTTTCTAAAGAGATATAGAAGTTAATCCCTATAAATAATCCTAAATTTTAATTTTATTCTTATTTTCTATTAAAAATTCACTTGTTAGAGTAGGTTATAATATGCGGTCATAGACCATTATTGGCGGGCGGTCCATATAGTTGGGATTATACAAAAATAATCAATAGTTGAGATTATTGTTAGCGGACCGGCAATAGTTGGTATTATTATTTTTAAATTTTCCCAAAAAAAAATCATCAAAAAATTCTAGAGGGAACCGCCTGAAATGGTGACGGCCGAACAGAGCCTCCTACAGAAGGGGTGATTTGCGCTTTTTCGGTTAGTTGGATGACTTATTTGCCCCTTTTCCCAAAAAAAATAGAGTAAAAAAGTTAGGGACCTTGGCCCTCCTACGCAGTCCTACCCCCATAGGTGTCTCCCTCCTCGGGACTTGGGGGTGGATACAAAAGGGCAAATTATACCGTGCAACCGGCGCACCATGAGGATGGTGCGCCCGGTTGCAAAACGACGCAGCTTCACTCTCTTTCTTTTTTTTTTCTTTTGTTGTTTAAAAATGATGATAACTTTCTTATTTTTGATCCGATTTTTATAAAATTTATATCAACATTTTTTATTTTTCATGATCTTTCAAATGAGACCAATATTGCTTATGTAATGTTAAGAAATTATCGAACTATTATATTAATGAGTATTGGATTATAAGGAAAATCGAATCTGTTAGGAAGATGATAGGTTTGTGAAATAGAAGATTGAATCTGTTTGGGAGTGGATTAGTGGCCTCAGTTACATTTGATAATACATTGAGTTACATCTTTTTATGAGCGAGTTACATCTTTTTATAAGCAAGTTACATCTTTTTATAAGCAAGTTACATCTTTTTATAAGCAAGTTACATCTTTTTAAAAGCGAGTTACATATATATAAACACGAGTTGCATTTGACATGCCTGAACGCGACTTACATATATTTACACGTAAAGTTACATATTTTTACACGTAAAGTTACATATTTATACACGCGAGTTACATATTTATACACACGAGTTGCATTTGACCTGTCTGAACGCGAGTTACATATTTTTTTACGTAAAGTTACATATTGTTACACGTAGAGATACATATTTATACACACGAGTTGCATTTGACCTGACTGAACGTGAGTTACATATTTTAACACGTAAAGTTACATATTTTACACGCAAATGTTAATATGTTAAAATTACATAGGCAATATTGGTCTCATTTGAAAGATCATGAAAAATAAAAAATATTGATATAAATTTTATAAAAATCGGATCAAAAATAAAAAAGTTATTACCATTTTTTAAAAACAAAAGAAAAAACAAATATAAAACCGTACCGGTATACTGTGCTCACCGGTCGTACGGTATAGGAACTTTTTTACTCGTACAAAAGTAATTCCTTCCTCAAAATTTAGGCTTACAAATGTAAAGACAAAAAAGGTCTAATATGAGTGTCTATGCGTATACCCCTAAAACATTCCCTTCCACAAAATTTAAAGACAAAAGCTCTTTAACACAACGGTATCTTTTAAGAGACAACATTATAATAATCCACCGCATGAGTACTTGAGTTGGTTGAGTGATGAAAAAATTGGAAGAATGATCAAAGATCGAAATCCGCAGCGTTTTTTAATATTAATTTTAATATAAATAGATGGATGGATGGATGGATGGATGGACGGATGGACGGATGGACGGATGGACGGATGGACGGACGGACGGACAGACAGATAGATAATCAATTTTTTCAGAAGATATTTCAGATTTCATTAATTTTTTGAGTTGTGGTGTCAAATTTTTGACTGGTCTCGTTGTTGATTTTTGTGATTCCATTAATTTCAGATTTCAATTAAAGTTTTGGTTTTCCCGATTTTGGACATTGGCTTTGTGTTTGCCAAAATATTGGCCAAAAATTTGGTAATTCGGTGCAACTTTTTATAATTATGTTATGTCAGAATTTTTACATCGATTTGAAAGTATTGTCATCGGTTGCACTGCTTCCCGTTTAGAAGCATCCATAGCTACTCTAGCTCCAAAAAGAGTGTGCCCTAAATAGTCAATCTGGTGAACGCCAAAACAACGTTTAGAAGATCTTGCAAACAGTTAATGTTGTTTTAATATACTCAAGACGGCTTCTAAATGGCGTAAATGATCTTCCCATGTAGCACTGTACACTAGAATATCATCAAAGAACACCAATACAAACTTATGTAATACTCGAGCAAAAATGTGACACTGAAAAGTGCCAGAAGCATTTGTCAACCTAAATGACATAAACTCATCACCTGATAAGCAAATGCCATAAGTGTGTTATGAAAAGAGATGAGATCGAGAAGGTCCAAAAGGGATTTCAGGAAGAATTGAGATGAAACAGATAGAAGAGAGAGTCACTAAGAGATTTCACCTCCAACGTACTTAGAATGTATAGAATTGAGATGAAACAGATCGTTAGCCACCTGTCTGTCCTTGCTAATTGATTTCTGCATCTTGTGACCTTTATTTGTTATGCATGTGGTACCATAAAATAAAAACATCATCATAAATGCACAAAGATAATTACAATGTAAGAGTGTAATTTTGACAATATCTTAGCACAACTTTTAGTCATTGTGATAGAAATAGAATCTTATTGTAAGTGATAAGTTACTGACTCCACCAGGTAAGGATGACGTACATATATAAATCTGGGAAAGTTTTCACCCAACACATCCTTCTTTAGTTGTCAAAAATAAATAGAATGCCCATAACCCCAAACTAATTTCCCCCTGGAAAAACAATAATAAATAGCACGAATATCTAATTGCCCCAAGAGTACTATATATGTGTCATACACGTAAAAGCTGCATTCTTAGCAATACTTATTTTAAGTACTTATTCAACTACAATGTCAATTACTACCTCCGTCCCTTAAAACTTTGTCAAGTTTGACCAGCACGTGAATTAATAAAGTAAAATCTGTGTGGTAGTGTTTGTGCAGAGGATGGAGAATTAATTGGAATCACAAATTCTTTTCTTAAAATGGAAAGTGTCAAAGTTAGTGAGACATCCAAAAAATGAAAGTTGACAAAGTTTTAAGTGACGGAAGGAGTATTTGTTTAACAGGTATTAGCACAACACCAAATTATAATGCTCATGCCACAGGCATGGTTTACCAGCAGCACCAAGAAGCTTGAGGAGAAGTCATCACAGTTATTTGTGTTATACCTCACTTATCTACATGACTACTATCTCACAGCATATCCAAGAGACTATGGTCTTGTTTGGTAAATGGCTGTTAGTTGTTGCTGTTAGCTGGTTATGTCAGTTGTTTCGTAACAGCTGGTTGTGTTAGCTGTTTTGACCGACTGGTTATGTTAGCTGATTATAAATAACTGTTTGGTAAAATTGGCTGTTTCGAAATGGCTGATAGAGTGTAAATTGAACCAGCCAAATGAAGAAGCTGCTCTCCTTAGCTTCTTCCACCACCCATTTTTTCAGCTTTTCAAACTCAACAAGCTAATTTTAAAAGCAATTTATCAAACATTATTATTAGCTTCTTTGACTAATCAAACAGTTGAAATGGGTCAAACAAGCTAAAAGCTGACTGATAAGCCATTTGCCAAACATACCCTATATATATGAAGGCCATACTTATTAAAATAAAAAGACATTAAACTCAGAGGGATTTTTTGGTTTCTTCCAACTCTATTTATATTTTCCCTTTATTTTCTTATATTTTTCCAAATAGAGAACAAAAATATCATTGCATTTATTGCACTTTCAACCAAACACTCCAATATTTGTTTTTGCTTTCTCAGTTAGCAGAATAGAAGCAATTTTAACAAATAGATCCAAACACCCCTTAGACCATATCGGAACAGAGTAATTCAAATTTTAAAATTTCAATCAAAGCGAAAACATCTCTAATACTATGTGTTTGAAAATAAGAAAATTAAAATCAAAACAATACCGGAGCAAATGTTTGAAGAACAAGTATGCATTTCACCTTGAAGATAAACATGATCTGACTACACTCATCCATATACAAAAAAAAAACATAAGAAGTAAAGTGATCATTCAGTCTACAAAGAGGCTAAAGCATAACTTCTGCACCCAAACAACTTAACCCACCACAAAAAATAAACAAATAGTAAGAAATTAGTAACAAAGTTTTATACAACGCTATACATCCCAGCCATCCTTCCGGCTGCCAAATTTGGATTTCCGGTTCATTATGCTCCCGTAAATCTCAGAGAATTTACGGAGGCATTTGCTCCGAACATGATAGTGAGCTTGTGTGTTACCACTAATTGCAACACCTGAAAACTTTGAAGTGTCAACCGCCCACGCTGGTTTCACATACTCAACCGTGCTCGAAGAAGAAGAGCTCATGTTTGCATACAAGTAGTTCAAAAGTACATCCTCACAATTAAAAAACGAGTCAACCACTTCTCGTCCTGGCAAAGCCTCCATGCTCCAATATCGTTTGAAAGCCATTTCAGCATCAAGGAATGCTGCCCCGGTCAGTATCATGTTATACCCGTTGTGCTTCCGGGCATGTCTCTCTGCCTTGTATTCCAAGGGGTCCCCGTTCGCTAGGCGAGGGTAGTACCCCACGATCCGCTCTGGATGCTGACGCCACACAAGAAAACCCCGCTCGACGTCGTCACATGTCATCATGATGTCATCATCGAGCTCAAGAATGGCTCGCGTCTTTATCAAGGGGTCAGCTTTGAACCGGTTGTTCAACGAGTTCTTCTCCTCCACCCTTATCCGCACTGGCACTGCCGAATCGAAGTCTTCCGCCAGTGGGGGCTTTCCCTTGTTCCACACAACGACGATTTCACGGACTGAAGCACATCTCGAGTAGTGTTTGATGTACATTTTCAAATTCCACATGCGGGCATCGTATGTCATGGTCAGTAGAGTAAATTGAGAGTAGTGACCATTCATAGGGTACGGTTCTTGGACACCACTGCCTCCATAGATGTGGGTGACGCCTAAACACGCCAAAGCAGCCGCGGTTAAGAATGTCAAGGCAAGAACCAAAGCTCCTGGACACGTGCTTGGTTTTATTTTGGCCCGTAGAAATGTGCATAGTTGGTTCAATTGGTAGCAAAAAAACCAATATTTCATAGAGAATGGGTCCTTTGATTCTTCTTCACGGATTGAAAAAGAATCACTCTTCTTTCCCATATTGCGTGAATGCCGAGTCAAAGGGACAACACACTTGATGGCCCCAAGTAAAACACCCAAAAATATGAGCATTACTACAACACCGACAACAGAAGCAAAGCCGAGAGCAAACCGGTGGGTAGCATCACCTGAATGCACACGATCCCCATCCAAAAAGGCAATCCACTCTCCCGAGCCCAGGCGTTTCACATCAAAGTGATGGCTGCGGGCCCCATTCCAGGCATTTATCCCCTTGATAGATTCTTGAATGCCAAATGGAACCTCAACTTCTTTGAACTCATGTGTCGTGAGATTTTCTATTTTGAATATGCGGACTGTCCTCCCATACGTGTCACCACAGTCTTGACCAACACGGTATATGTTCCCATCATACATGAACGGTCTTCCTCCACTCCGGGCTCCCCTGCTTGGGTCTGTGTTGTAAATGGGGTTCTCCGTGTGGGGCCTCCAAGGGCCAAGAGGGGAGGTACTATACCATATCTCTAGTTGTCCATTATTTTGGGCCCCAATGCCACTATGATCTGAACCAAACAGCCAATATTTCCCGTCATGTGAAATTATAGAAGGATCTATGATGGGCTTTTTCATTAGTACCTTCTCCTGCACCCACTTTGTGGGAAAATCTACAGCTCGGTACAGTTTAAGTTCTCCCTTATCACTACCCTCAGGTAACATATATATCTGCCAAGAGAATAAGTGAAAGAGGTTAGCAGTAGGAATGCATGGCATTATTTGAAGACAGACCTGATAAAGAAAATAAAATACAGTGGAGCATGCATAAGGGTATATTTGGATGATGGAGAGTGCCAAGGAAAGGAGCAAAAGGAATGATAAGAGAAGTTGTGTTCTTATGCTTGGTTTGACATCGGAAACACAGTGGACAATGAATTATTATTAATAAATCATATATTTAGATTTATGGGGTTTTTCATATACTATAACGAAAACAGAACTCGAACTGCATGGTTATTAGTTTATTACCACGTATTGAAGACAGGAAAAGTAAATCCTCTTCAAAATGCAGTAGTGCATCCACTATGGCACTATCTAATATGTGTTATACTGCTATGCTTCCCTCCCCATACCCCACAATTTAAAAAATAGAAGAACTAATCATTCTTAATTGTTGTATGGGAAAAAATCCCGATAGATAACTATGAGTCTCAAGTTAATGAAGGAACAAGTCTATGAAATTGAGATCTTACATTCCCATTGTACTCAAAGACATATGGATATGAGAGATGCCAATCCTCATCCAATGCAATGCCCAACTGTTCCCATGTCACTCCTTTATCAACACTTTTAGCAACTCCAATATCCCCTTGCATTGTGATGGGGTTCTTTGTTTCAAAAAACAGGTAAAGAGCGTCTTCCTGTAATCACATGGGAAAAAGAATTTAAATTTCATAAGTTGAAACAATGGCCAAAGGACATGGAATAGAAAATAACTTCTGGCGCACGTCAAATGTTTTCTATACATATGGCCATATGGGTTATGAATAATATATGAGTAAACCTTATCTCTTAAGGATCCTTTTGAGTGAGTTAGGCCCAACATAACTTGGGATCAAAATTTGATCTAATTGAAGTCTGTTTGGTTTTTTGGCACACATTGCTTGGAATATCCCGTGGCGGGTCAATTTAGTCCATTTATGCACCACTCAAGTTGAGCCCGTTTCAACTTTATTTTTGCTGCAACATTAGTACAACTTTAGGTTGTTAGGTTCATTTACACCCCTTGAAAGTGTAAAGTAGGTTTCAAGCACCCAAACACTTTTTCCCATCTAAAGTCATAGTTCATCCAATTGTCTTCCATGACTTTGTTATACTATTTTTCATACCTCAAATTCCTAAAAATATTGCAGATTGGCTTCTCATAATTTCATAGAACTTTCTAGCGACTTGCAGTCTTCCTTTAAGTCACTAGAAGTACAAAATCCATATTTTATCAAACCCTCGTATATAAAATTATCAAGCCAGAGCAAGTTGCAATATTCTTCATCAACTTGTATGATAAAGATTAAAGAGATACCATTATCTACCAATTAAATAATGGAGTACCAAAAAGTAGATGATAACTATTTTTTACCATGGTGGGGTCATCAAGCGGCTAGATTTTAGTATTTTATTTGAGAAGCTCCAAAACGTCTTATCAAATGAGCACTAATAAAAACAAAAATTAATATAAGTCTAGGGCCCGTTTGGCAAGGGTTATATGGTTGAAATGGTGGATTTTGCTGAGTTTTTCAGAGCATGGAATAGTGTTTGGTAAATGGTAACATCCATTTAAGCAAAATAAATAAGTCAGTAGATACTACTTATTCTGCTAAAGTGGCTACCAAAGAGTGTCCTACTAAAGGATGTCATAGACCAATTTCCTGCAAATCCATATTGGTACCAAAAAATGACAAGCCTGTCCAATTTTCAAGCAAAAAGGGAATTAATTACCTTAACATAAAGGAAAGGATCGGCAACAAAATTACTAGGAAACCCAGCTTGTGAAGCTGAAGCACAAGTTAGAACCGGATTGGCCACCGGCCAAGCTGCACTCTTGTTACTATGTATATTCATCTGCAACCCATTTAAAGATATAGACGTCAGAGAAGTAACTATAAAGCCTATAACTCATAAAGATTTATACAGTTCTAAATTCCCAGAAATAAACCTTAAACCCAGGCCTGTAATCTTACAAAGATTCAAACCTTAACCATAGGCACCACCCAAATTTTGAAAATCGCACCCCTGAACTTTCTTTAAAATGTAACTTTCATCCTCAAAACCCAGGCTTGTAATCTTACAGTGGTTCTACCCAAAACATTGAAAATCAAGAACCTGAACTTTTCTTTCAATAAAAAAATAACTCTTAAAATCAGTAAGAATACAGGGGGGAGGAGGGAAAGACTGACAAAGAAGAAATCTCACGTCTTCAATGGATTTTAGGGAGAAAGGAGAGTCACCATAAAAAACACCAATTGCCCAAGAACCCTCATTGTCTTCACGGCATCCCTTCACGGGCAGGTTCGTGTGGACATTAGGTGTCAGCATGAGCCGAGCATAGAGGCAAGCCATGGAACCCAGCAACAGAAACGAAATTAGGAAGAAAACGAGAGCAGATGAAATGACGCTGAGATACCTGTTACTGTTATTCCTGCCGTTCTTCCTGCTATTTACGAAACTGCCTCTCCCGCCCCACCAGCCGCCGTGGGCGTGGGAGGAGGCGGAAATCGCAATTGGGGTCGAACCCATCTCTAAAAAAGAAATCGCAATTGCGCTGCGTAAGAATGCCCTATGTCATCATTTAATGCCTTAGTTTGTTTTAAAATTATTTATCAAAAAAAAAAATAACGCCCCATTTACTGTGACCACCGATTCAATTACTATCGTCTCATTTACTAAAGTCTCAGAGAACTAACCCGCCCAGTGACCTGACATGTCTAGATACAGTTACTTGATCTGACTAGTTATAGTGTTAGACTCGATGTAGTTACAGTTACTCGATTCGACTAGTTACATTTACCCAACCCACCAATTACAGTTACTCAATTCGACCAGTTACATTTACCTGACCCACCAGTTACGGTTACCCAACATGATTAATTACACTTACTCAATCCGATAATGACCATGTCGATCACCACCACCGACCATCTCATTGGGCCACTGCCGGCCACCGCATCCGACCACATCTGACCACCACCACCGACCACCGCATCTGACACCACCTATGGTCGCTCCTACTGTCACCTTGCACTCGACTAGTTGGATGGCCTGCCCCACCCCTCACCTACCTCGCCCCAGTGGACTCCAACTATGCTACCACCTGCCTGCGCCACCCATGCATTGCCCCAATCCCGCCAGCGCTGCCCCAGTTCCCAACTTGTCTTCTCCTACTCGCAATTGTCCCCAACAACTCCCACATACCCAAACTTCCTCGCCCCAGCCCCAATTCCCTCTTCTCCAGCTCGTCATTGTTGCTCACATAGTCACATCCCTCAAGGCCAACACCGGAAAAGCCCCAAAGTCATCGTCGCCGTTTATGGCCTAGCCCTCAAAATCATTGACTCCAGACCTGTTGAAATCGTCTGCGCCAGATCTATTCCAATCATCGTCTTCGGCTTTCAACCGTCGCCAATGGATTAGCACAACCACCGATTTACAAGCTTAGCGCTCATGCATGGAGAACTTCGTTGTTGACGCCAATGCGGAAATTGAGGAGAAAGAAGAGGTTTCGGCGATCGAACGATTGAGGTGGCGAACGATTGATGCGTATGAATGCTGCCATGTAGGACTAGAGGTGCAACTGAGCGGATGACAAACATTGAAGAAAGGTTTTGGACTGTTTTGTTCCAGTTGCGAGAAAGAGAACGATGAAATTGGAGGGTGTTTCAGTCTGTTGAGCAACAATTAGTCTTTTTTTGTCCAAAAATTAAAAGTGGTCATATTTTTGTCTTTTCGACTCACACAAGTAATATATTTGTCATTCTTTCTAATGATTACTTTTTTAAAACAAAAAAAAGGAAAATGAAGCAAATAACTTTGAGCACTTTCCAGATAAATACTAAAAACACCTATAACTATATCAAAGAGACAAATTTGAATGGTTTTAGAGTCTATGTAGCACCGATACAGGAACACAAAAACGTGGAAATGATTACGGTATATGATAACACTAAAAAAAGGATACATATACTACATCCATTCCGAAAAGAAGTTACGTTCTCGCTTTCCTTTTATGGATATCCCAAAATGAAGTTCTTATTTCTATAAAAGTAAATCACTTTTATCTCAAAAGTCACAACAACTCTTACTTTTTACCCACTTTTTGCTTAATTTGACATAAAGTATTAAGGGTAAACTCAGAAAGTCAAAACAAAATTCTACCTTACATAAATATGTGTGTGGATCAAACCAGGAACTTCATTTCGGGACGGAGTATTAAATGTTATGGGGTGTATATTATGGATGTGTGTTTATAAATATTAAAAATTATGGATGTGTGTTTATAAATATTAAAAATTATAAGTTTTTTTAAATACATACATATATTATCCCATGATCAGTCATTCATGTCATTGAAACATTTCACATTTTCAAGATAGTTATAAATAAATTCATATTTTATTTCATATACACTAGTGTATTTCAAAATATAAATATAGTCAATAAGTCACTAATTTAAAATGAGAAATATGTCAAACAAGCACATATTTGAAATTAAGTGTATGTGTTGCGTGTTCTTGAATAGAAGATTCTCAATAAAGATAGAAAACAATACTCTAATAAAAACTGAAAGTTCTAATAACTTGTCTTAAGACTTTTGTTATTTGTTTTTGGGGTGTTTTATTTGTAAAAAAAGTTGGTATGTGTATCTGTCACGACACATGCGTCCGAATTTTTAAAATAATTATCAAAAATTAAAGGTTAGAAACTTTTAATAAACTGCAATGCAACCCCGGGAATGTACACTACATGTATCCTAGAGTATTTGTGGTTAGCTCGATGATCGTTTATTAATTGTATTGTCTTGCCGGCCTCAAGTGATAGTGTGAGAGTATGCTTAATATGAAGGTGTAGAAAAATCAGTAGCAATTTCCCCGGAAGGTGACTTGAGACTAGTGAACGCACTTAATCAGTTGCGAACGATTTATTGTATGCATAATTATACGGACTAACTTACGATTTACTCTCTAATTCAATTTCATTATATAAAAAGAATGACACTCCATCTCTGAGGGGCCCCCCAACACCGACTGAACGGTACGTTGGGAGGATGTAAATTGGTCTATAATCACAATCTGACAGATAGAGAGTGGGGTTCTGTCCTCGGTACTTGCAGAGGCCCTATGCATTTTTTAGCATAGTAACCTCTCATCGCAATATTGGCGATGAACATAAATGTACCCAATTTACTAAATACTCCAAATAGGATCAAAATATAGCATTTTTCTAAAATAGGACCTATATTGCCAGACCACAATCAGAACGCTGGCCGCCGCCTCTGTCGAGCAGCCACCATCACCAGATTGTCCCGCCATCAACCGAGTACCCTGCCACCAATGGACTGCTCTTTCTTATGCAAGGGGGTTAAAGACGATTGATTATGTTACTTAATTAATTAATTAAATTAGGGATAGAAATGAAATGATTAGTCTTATTTAATGAAAACCAAACATAATTAATTAATTTAATTAGAGATAAAAATGAAATGATTAGTCCTGTTTAAGTAAAACCAAACGTATAATTCTATTTTTAGAAGAAGACTATGTTTTACTTGTAGAGCCCAGTTGGTAACACTGAAATTGACTGAATTGGCTTATTCTGTTGAAATTTATGAAGTTTTGATTGAAGTGGTAGTATTGGTTGATTATGCTAATTTATGAAAAAATTATATTTAAAATATGTGTTATTAATAAATCAAATAAAAAATTATATGAAAAATAGTTAAATGATCATCTACAGTGACTTTAACCAATACAACCCGAAAAGTAACTTCAATATTACTTTTTATTACTATTACACAATTCAGTGCGCGAACGCAAAAATTACGTATTTGATGATAAAGTTGGTTGATAAGCCTGATAAGCCGAAAAATATGTTACCAAACGGGCTCTTAGTTTGAGCGATTTCTCTAATTCATTCCCTTCGTGTAAATTTTAGAAGGCAAAAAAGGTCTAATATAGTGTCTATTCGTGTATGCCTAAAACATTTCACTTTACAAAATTTAAAGACAAAAATGCCCTTTAACCTAACAACATCTTTGAATGATATCTTTGCTCCTGCGTTCAAAAAGTAAGGGTCTATTTACCAACAAAGATATTTTTCATTTTTCTATTTCCGTTTTTCGTTCTCCAATTTTTCTGTTTTCATTTTCCAGTTTTTCTATCTCCAATTTTCTGTTTTCAATTTTTTAGTTTTCCATTTTCAAATCTGAAAACATGTTCATCAAATTTTTTTCCCCAGTTCCAAAAGATTGAAAGTACGATCTCATTCTGAAATCAAACCTAGTACAACCCAAGTAGGGTACCAGCCTACCAGGTCCCACGTATAGGAAAGTCGGGACCGAAACCTGTCAGGCCCAGTCGATCTCACCGATTAGTTTGACGAATTCTTTTCCCATTTCTCTATTGGTTGACATCTCAACGGCTCTTTTAAAACTCTTCACTTTAAAAAGTGATTTAAAATAATCGAGACTGAACTGTTGGGTCATTGATCAGCCCAGACAGGGATCGTCGGGTCATTGACGGGACTGGCTTGGGACCGCTTAGTCGTGGATCGGACCAGACAAGGACCGTCGAGTCATCGATCGGATAGGACAGTGACCGCTGGGTCATCAATCGGACAGGATAGGGACCGTCAGGTCGTGGACCGGATCAAACAAGGGTCGGAGGTCGTGGACCGTACTGGACGAGGGACCGCCGGGTCGTGGACCGGACTAGATCGGGATTGTGCGGCTGTCTATTGGACCGGAAAGGGATCGCCAGTTCAATGACCGCGTCGGACCGTCGAGTCGGTGACCGGACCAGGTAGGGACTGTCGGGTCGTTGACCAAACCAGACGAGGATCGCCAAGTCATTGACCATATAGGATCAGATCGGGACTACCCGCCCATCGACAGAATGAACTGGTTCCGCTTGATAGTGGATCAGGCCAGACAGAGATCGTCGAGTCATTGATTGAACCGGACAGGGACCGTCAGGTCATCGATCGGACCAGACAGGGACCGCCGAGTCGTGGATCAGATCAGATGGTTGGGTCATGGACCTGACTGAACATGTTCCGCTTGATCATGGATTGGGCCGGACAAGGATCGTCGGGTCATCGATCGAACCAGATAGGGACCATCAGGTCATCGATCGGATCAAACAGGGACCGCCGGGTCATGGCTCAGATCAGACACTTGGGTCATGGACTAGACTGGGCAGGGATCGCGGGTCGTGGACTGTGCCGGGTAGAGACCGTTGGGTTGTCGTCCGGACCGGACCGGGATTGCTCGGCGATCGACCGGACCGGATAGGGACTGCCGGGTGAATGACCGCATCAGACCGCCGGGTCATTGAACGGACCATATAGGTACCGTAGGGTCGTTGACCGGGCTATAACTGACACCGGAGCGGGACCGGATGCACCACTAGGTATAAGTATGCAAATTCATTGCAGCGGCACTGCAACATCTGCGTTTTCCAAATTTGGAAAACTAGTAAAAGTTACTTCTCCAATTCATTAAGAAAAAGAGAGACATATATCATTTTTTTGTTTTTGAAAATGATTTGGTAAACGTAGTTTTCTGTTATCTTTTCTCCAATTTTCCAGTAATTTTCTTTGGTAAACACGTTTTATATTTTCCTTTTCCCAGTTTTCCAATTTTCTAAAAATCTGGAAAATAACGTAAACAGATCCTAGCTTTTGGAATTTGCACCGTTCAATTTCATGTTGTGAATGTACAAGTCACGAAGCACATAAAAGTGGGATTAGTGCTACACTTGCATCTCCGCCTTCCCATTACATATACTCCGTATATAAAAAGAAGTTTGCGCTAGTGTAATATAATCATACACATAAGATCACATGCATCCCATTATCATTAATGAGTTAATGACCTTAGTATGTTAAATCTCTATTAGATTTACATTTAAAATATATCTAAATTATTGAATTTAATTATTGATTACAAAATTGTGTCATTTAATGCACCAAACCCCTCGTGAAATATAAATTCGACGCATTATCTCTCTTTGATTTAAAAAATGCGCCAAACTTTCATGTGTTATAGACTTATAGTTATTCATGCACAAAACCTCTTATATGAACAAATTTAATTGTCAAATAAATGAAAAATGATTAGTTTTTTTGTATGATTTAGAAATTTTGACAAAGTTACTTTCATATTCGATCATATTATTAAGAAAAGTGACATTAAAATTGTAAAATTTGTTCTTTGAGGGGGTTTTGCGCATGAGTAACTAAAACACAAGAGAGTTTGGCACATTTTTTATATCACAGGGGAACTAATGCGCCGAATTTATATTTCACGAGGGGATGATGCATTAATCCCCATTTTTTAATGTTAAGCTCAGGGCATCATGACAGTGTTAAGCTCAGGGCATGATGACAGCATAGACCTAGCATAACCATTGATTAGAAAGGTGAGACATATAAAAACTGAAGTGCTCGTAATTAAAGACCTCTGATTTGAGGGATCTAATTATGCTGGAGGCTCCACTTCAATGCTAATGAGTGAAACAGATTCATGAAGGAAAAACTAGTGTGTTATTGTGTATAAAGAATACCCTTGATTAATGTAATTATTAAAGGTAAGTATAGGCGTGAGGGAGAGTTTCTCGCTGGATTTTGTTACTTGGTAAGGTTTTTAATAAGGTAACAATACATTTATACTTTATTGAGCGAGGCAATGATCAAATAAGGATAAGCTTAATGAAAGAAGTTTATCCTAACGTTGTACTCTTTTTCCTCTGGTCAAGGTTATTCGATCACATATAGGAATCAGCTAATACAGCCACTTCAGCCAAAATTTCATAAATTTCAGCAGAATCAGTCAATTCAGCCAATCTCAGTGTTACCAAACGGGCTCTATATCCATATTCACATATAGTATTCCATTCGTTCCAAAATCAGAAGAAAAAAAATTGAGCTGTATAAAACTTTACAAAAAGAAAATTGACAGTATTTTTTCAAACTTGACCGTCGTCCTAGTGTCCTACGTTGAAATTCCCAAACGTTTTTACTCTTATTTTGAGATTTTTTCAAAAGAAAATAATGCGACATTGCCACATTGGTGATGGTGAATTAACACTGACTAATATTGAAATGATGAAAAGAGAAAATGTAATGATGGAGCTAGACGCGATATGTGTCCTAGAACATTGCCGTTCTTTTATTTCTCGTATGTATTTGTTTTTCGTAGGCCAGTCATTGGGGTGAATTTAATTTGAAACAATGACCCTAATATTACCTTTAGAGGTGTCAAGGACATAAATATGACTTCTTTTAGTTTGGACATGAAAGTGACTAAATTAAATGAAATTAAATGTTATAACCTCTAAATACAACTCCATTCAAAACCAAAAAGAAACTAAATGCGTAGACATAAATAAACGTCAGATCCCCTCCATCTTTTCTTTGACGCAAAAGCATCAGATGAAGCCACCGCCCTCCATCTTTTATTTCAGATCCAACATCCGAGCACAAGATCTGCCGCCGCCAGACCCATCATGTCGTCACACGCATCCGCCATCGCCGCCCTACTACTATGCACTAGTCGCAACCCCATCTCGAATCTCACCCCTCTCGTCTTCTTCTCTTTTTGTGTTATGCGTGATTGGGACTGATAGTGATGAACCCATCGACTATAGAGACGTCGAGTGTTGGCGGCGATGGGTGCAATGATGGTTGACAATGTCTGAGGGCGACGAAGTCTTTGTGAGGTGCGATAGATCTATATTTAGTGCGTGGGGTGGGGTGCGGGGGCCTGGAGCGGAGGGTGGGGAAGCAGCTATGCAGCGCGGGGGGAAAGGACTGTGAGGCTGAGGAGGGGCTGAGGGCTAGAGAAGGGGGTTAGGTGAGCCAAAGCGGACGGCGGTCGCCGGATGGGGGCGGCAGTCACCATTGGGTTGTGATTGATCACTGGCCATAGGTCACTCCCACGGAAGTTACTGCGGCGGTAATCACTGGTCGGATGACATAGTAGTCACTAAATGGTAGAGTAATCACTGAATGACGGAGTAGTCACGACAATTGGTGCATCGGCACTCATTGAATGACGGAGTAGTTATGAGAGTCATTGAATGATGGAGTAGTCACCGAATCACATAGGGTGATCAAGTCACTGGACCACATAGGAATTACTGTGACTGGTAGCAATTTTGGGAGTCACTGAATTGTATTTTGAGTCAATGAGAGGCTGTTTAGGTTGAAGTTAGTGGCACTAATGCGGTCTCTAAATTAAAGAATCAATAAGGGTTAATATGGAGTCACTAATGTGGTCTCTAAAGGACTGGCAAGGAGTAGGGTAGGGCGGGGATGGGCAGTTCCGGTGTCATGGAGCGGAGTGCATATTATTAATTATTAGTGACTGAACGATATCTCTAAAGTCACTACACTCAAGTCTATTTTATTATTAGTGAATGAGCGATATCTCTAAAGTCACTATCTGGACGACATGACGTCACTAGAAAATGAAATCAGTGACTTACAATGAAGAACATACTATACTTTAGTTACTCCGTACTATCTTAAAAATATATTAAAAAATATAAATATAATAATTACTCCGTTAATTAGTTACTAATACGGATTGCACAACTGTATACATCTAGTAACTATGTAAAAAGAATAAGGGTAGTTCTCCGGTGCCTTCACATTGTATGAGGTATTGGTGCACCAGCCATGTGGCTTAATTTCATTTGTTTCCCATTCCAAGTCAAATTTGTCATTAAAAATGTTTATATTTGCATAATAGTCCTTTTTTGTTTTTTTAGTTGCACTCATCTTGAAAAGATGTTTTCTCCCATAGAATCTGCTAACCATATATGATGTAAACTTTAGTTGTGGGTGCAGGTGCAGGGAAGAAGATAAAGATAGACTCTTATATTATATGGTGTTTGTTCATAGAAAAGGGCAAAAACTTAGAGCCTGTTTATTAACAGAAATATTTTCTGTTTTTCCAAAAAATCAGAAAACTGAAGATAGAAAAATTAGAAAACCCGTTTACCTAAAGGTTTTTCAAAATGAAAAAAACGAAACATGTCTCAGGGGTTTTCCTCCTGAAATAGAGAATCGACTTTTAGGCATTTTCACGATTTAGAAAACACGGTGCTACAGTGCTCGCTATTTACTACCTTTACTGCGCCTTACCTTCTTCCCCGTACCCTCTTTACATCTTCGCCCAACTGCGCCTTTTTTTTTTACTTTTCTTTTGAACTCTATAAAGGAGTTTTGTATTATAGCGTGAACTATAAATGAAATGTATTATTAGGAGATCAATCATTTTAGAAGTATTGGTGGTTATCATGGCTCAAGGGTGAATATATTTCCTCTTTTTTACCTATTATTTTTCTCTCTTTGTAATTGTGCATTTCTTTTCCAAATATTAAGTCAACGATTTCTAGTAAAAGTCAAATGGAAAATTGAAAAACTCTAGTAAACGTGTTTTCTAATTTGGAAAACAAAAAATTGGAAAACGAAAACAGAAAACTTGAGACTTGAAAACAGAAAATGAAAACAGAATACTGTCTGTGTTAGTAAAGACGCCCTTATATTCTCTGGACCGGCTTATCAGATCCATCTTTGATTCATGAGTTTAATCATCCTTATTATTCTCGACATCTTTTGGATCCCCAACTGCAGAATGAATCTCAACCTTTTCTACCTCATCCTCTCGGGCAACCAACCCCCTATGGAATGAATGACTTTGTGGTAGACAATAATTCACTTTCAAGAGGAGGTGAGGGAGAATCCTTTGACGTGCCACTAATCCTTTCCGATGGCTTTGGGGTTTCCCTGGCTCCACAATCCCAGTGAAAGTCTTTCAGTTTTAGATATTGTTGCAGCTGTATTTTGCTAGTCAATTCTTCCACTATTGAAGCTATAAACTTCATCTCTTATTTTTTCCCCCTTCTCTCATGCCTTAGGGATAAACTGCAATGAGAGTATACAGATTGGGTGAAAAAAAGATAGTAATAAAAAGCGTGAATGGACAAAAATCTATCTACTGGAAATGTTTTGTTACAGATTACAGGAAACCATTTAAGAGTGTTATAAGATACAAAAATTTTAAATACACAAAAACCCATGATCAGAAGATTATTGATGAATGGTTCTACATCTTGTTCCATATTGCATAAAACTTATGAGCATATCAAGAGGAGAGAAAGATCAAAATGTATATGATTTTTCTAGCCTTTAAGTTAACATCATATGCTTCATGGACATGTATGGAGGACAAATGATGGACATGTATACAGGATAAATGGTCACACAAAGATTCTATATTGAATTGGTACTAAGATCTTAAGAGAAGAAGAATTGCCCTCTCCACATATCTAAGAGGGAATTCCCTCTTTGTTGTGAGGTTTGGAAAATTTTCCTTTGGATTATCCAAAAAATTATTTAAGATGAGATACTTAAAAAAAGTCCACAAAAACTCGATATTTTGATATCATTGCTGGAACCCACAGAAAAGCACATCTATGAAAACAAAAAAATATAAGAAAAAGGACAAAAAACATAATTCATAGAAGCACATGACATATCTTAAATTCCAAGAAGTCGTAGGACTTCAGATCACAAATGAAAGAGTTCAACACTTTTATACCCGTGAAATTTTACTTCATAATATTAGTCTATCTAGATAATCCAATGTAGACATTACTTGATTAGTTGGCTAGCAATCCCTAATGTATGCAGTGAAGTGAAAAAGAGATCTAGACACGCTTCTTAAACCTCCAATTAGATATGAAACATGTTTTGTTAGTTCTAGAGTTAAGTAAGCTCAATCTATCACACATATAACATTCTGGTGTTTTTCTGGTACATACGACCAATTCAGTACATTTATATCCCACACAAAAGCCAAGTGGGATCCATTCATCTCTTCCCTACAGTTCAAGTCGCAAAGCTTAAATTCATCGCTCCAATGTATTAAAGAAGTATCTCAGCAACTCATACTCTCATAGTTTCCTCCCACCATGCAGTGATGCATCAGAAACTCTCAATGGTCATATGCTAGTTAAAGAGCTTTACTTTTATATTTCGTGTTGGAATATCAATTATAAAGAGGCTCATGAGCTCCACTAGGCCATAAACCTCATCATTTTGTAGCACTCACACTGTTATAAGTAATTTTAACAGAACAAAAAATGGGATTTGAATAGCAAGATATTGTTATTTTAGTATTTATATGGTTTAAGGAAATTTCAATCTTCAACACCCGACACAACGTAACCTCTTTCATTGTTTATCTATCATCCTACTCTTTTTGCTTCTCCAGGGAGAAAGTGAACACAATTGTCTAAATATTTTATATACATCTCCTAGTTCTGTAGCGAAACAACTAGAGTCATTTTGCTCTTACATACAAAACCATAAGTCCATGGTCAAATTCTGTCACGTTTTTTATTTGATCATGCTACAAACCAAACAACATGTGCAATATAGTGACTAAAAACCAAACAACATGTGGAATCTATCACATTTTTACATTTTTAATTTGCATATATAGTTATTCACTTCTCAATATCTGGTATCCTGCCAATATGCCAATATGAAAAGCAAACATTAAACTTCAAAGTATCGACTAAAAAGTATGAAAATTCTATGATAATGTACCAAGAATGTCTCTTACAAATTGTAGCATTATACGGGAAAACATGACAAGATGACCAAATTTATGTATTTGATACCACATATTACATAATTGTGTCTGGAGCTTCTTTTCGTATAAGCCAAAAGGCAACGACTTTATTTTTTGAATTGTACTAAATTATGTATCTTATGAAAACTAGCAATCTAAGGCCCTGCATACACCCATATAATGAATGAAGAGATCAATCTCTCGCACATGAAGATTGTGTCAATATCAACCTTTTTGCTTGGGATATGCCTGCTAGCGAGATACATACCACTTAGGCTTATTGTAATCTTTCAGAGAATATTTTCCTCATATACCAAGCATTGTTGTACCAAAATCAGAAGACAAACAAATCCTCAAGAACTGTGTAAATAAATATAAGAGTGGGTGTGCACAAATACATACAAACATTCCATGATGTTCCATGCTTCAAAAGCATAGAAGCATATATCGTATATTGAATCAAGATTGTAAATTGTAATCTAAATCTTGAAAAAGTAAGGTTTCATTAAACGATCTTAGTTAATTAAGTAGTTTGGGAATTTAGTGAAGCTGGAAAACGAGCCCAGATCACGCAGCCGGATTTTCATTTCTCTGCCCCTTTCCCTGGCTTCTTCGCCTTCCAGAGACCCAGACGCCTTTCGCCCACTCTTCTTTCTCGATAACTCAAAGCATAAAATGATAAAATTGGTTGGGGATTGGGGAAGGACTTAAGTGCAATAAACTTATTTTTAATTAAAAAATTGACCTGGATTAAATTACCAATCCGATGTTGCCAAGTGTGGAATGCACCAAAACATCCCAAACACAAATGCACCGTAAAATTTTCCAAAGAATAAATGAAACGTTTCAAATATATGCTCCTAAATATATGCTTTCAATTACCAAATTAATCATGATAAGTAATTAATGCATCCGATTTTTTTGGTTAGTAGTTTTCAAGAGAGTCAATCTATACATGGTAATATATGTACTACTAAACCCACATGAGTTATATAGTCATATTATTGGCAAATCACTTCTCAAAAATGCAAGGGGTATACAAGTTGTACACAACTTGTACACAAATTGAGGCTCACAGACAATTGATATGGAGTTGCCTGTGAGCACAGACAAGAGTTGTCTGTGTACACAGACAGTGCTCAGAGACATTTACTTTCGTATAAAAAGTACACTGATAGCCGTCTGACACTAACACCAGCTTGCAAATTAATCTATATATGTGCAGTGCATGTGTGCATATACAATATTTTCCTGTTGCACAGACAATTATTTGTCTGTGTGCAAAAACAAAATTTACCACATGGATAATATTTGTGCGGCTCACAGACAACAGTTGTCTGTGCGATCAAATTTAGTTGTCGGTGTGATCAATTTTAATTATCTGGGTGAACAAAAAATTTATTTTTCTATATATATACATTTAAATGAATGATGTAGTTGTATGTATAATCAATTTACATGTAATTTAAAAAAATAATAGAAAAATAATGAAATAGATAAAATAAGATGAATAAGCTGATTTTGTGCAAATAATGAAAAATCTATTTATATATAAGAAAAGAGATAGCTCATTAAATTACACATCTACCCTTATAAA